AATTTTAAAAATGACCTCAGCATTTAGCACACTCACTGTTGGTAGACACTGGTTTGCCTTGAAGACTGAGAAGTGAATACTTAAAAAAATCCAGGCTTTAAAGCACAAGAAGACCATGAGAGGCTACGAGAAACAGGAGAATGACCACAGTAAAGGCATAGGCAAAAAGATGCAGCTTTAGCTGTAATTCCAGACTTGCTTTTCTTAAGGTTCTTGTCAGAGTACCCTGAAGCTGATTTCATCTCCTTGCTTACCAGAGAGAAGAAAGCAGAGTGCAATGGGCACTGTGACCATATTCCACATATTTTGAAACACTTTAACAGTCCCAGCCATCCCTGCCAAGTCTGTCTTTCGCTGCAGTCAATTGGGCTATTTCTTAACTGGGCTTTTTCCTGCTGGAGAGCACCACCTTGTCACTCGGGGCACGACTGTCTTGCCCTCAACTGCAGTGCGGCTTGGGAATTTCCCCTAGGGATGCTTTGTCCCAAGAAAGGAGGGGAGGCCTCCTTCCCTCTGCCAGCTGTGCTTTCTCTCAGCAACCTGAGCTCTGTGGCTTGCTGAGAAACCCTTTCTCTCAGCAGCCCTTCAAGGCCACCAATGCTTTTGGCGTGGCAATCCTTCCAAGGCCTTCAGAGTCATTGCAACACCAACCTGCCTTCGTCAGCTCACACCTTTGCCTTGCAGCTGCCGTGGCCCACACTGCCTTTTCCTTTGGGGAGGGAGAGGGATCTGTGCCATGGCAAAGGCACCACTAAAGGCAGCTGCCACTCCCACCCCAAGCACCCGCTCGTCACTGCACAACTCCCCATGTGCCCGCCATGAAACGCGTCCCGGCACCCATCTTGCTGAATGCTGTCGTTTGATCTCTAGAACCAGGTCGGTCTTGGAAGACCTACAAGGAAGATCACCTTTGTGACCAAGGGATTGGTCAGCAACCTCAACTCCTACGGAGCAGACATCATGGCCATGTGCAGCGGACTCACCACCTACATGGCTCGTGAAGTTCACGGTGAGTGCAAGCAAATGAATTCTCTCTCCCATTGGCCTGCCACTTTCTTTCCCTTGGCCAGCGACCACTGCACAAAGGCTCCTCTTCCAACTTGACACAGACAGAAACCAAGCAACAAAAATACACCCCTAGAATGGCAGCCACTGTTGTAGCTGCTATAGACTGGTATAAATGAGCTGAGCTGCTGTGGGTGCCTTACTTGTATTTTGATCACTTGCAAAAGAATTTTGTATTAACAGGGAAAAACCATTTGTTTTAAATGTATCCGAGGGAACTAAATTTTACTCTGATAATCCTGAACACCCTCAAAGTATTCTGAGCCTTCCTGCAAGCTGATTGCTTCCAGCCATGTCATGGAAAGCTGCTGTACAGCTCGGGCTCAGCTCTAGCATGGCAGCATTGCCCTCTACTCCCTGCTTGCTTTGCTTTGGGCATTGCTTTGGCTCCTGAAGGGGCTTAATGGGATTAAAAAGGCAAATGTAATCTGCCTGGTATTAAGGGATGTCTACAAATGCACAGATCACTCAGCACTATCTAAGGCAGCATCTCATGGTTTTGATTTTCTCTTTTGTTGTTTGTTAAGGACCCCAACTGAATCTCAGATCGTGTACTACACTTGACGTCATGAAAGTTGTGGACCTGAATTATTGTCATGGCAATATAATGGCCTGAAAACTTTACCTGTCTTGAACCAAGTGTGGGGGGCTCCAGACCTGCTGCCCAAAGCCAACCCCAATGCCCTTCTTCCCTGGCATCTCCCCTTTCCAGAGATTCCTTCTTGAGGATGGAGATGTTGAAATACATGAATGGGTGACCAGAGCTTTCAATTAAAGACCTTCATTATGTATGGACTCCAACTTGTTTGTCTTTGCCATTTTTTATTGATGAACACCCCTAGAAATACATTTTGATTGTCTCTCTTTC